CCAAATGACCACCACCAGTATACAAATCATGGTCCATAAAGACATGGCTGTCAGAGTCTGGTGAGGATGAACTGGACTGACCTGCACTGAGTCCTGACCTCAACCTGATAAAACACATTTGGGATGAATTAGAGCAGAGACTGAGAGCCAGGCCTTCTGTCCAACATCAGTATGTGACCTCACAAATGTGCTTCTGGAAGAATGGTAAAAAAAAAAACCCATAAACACAACCCTAAACGTTGTGAACAGCCTTCCAGAAGAGTTGAAGCTGTTCTAACTGTAAAGGGTGGACCAACGTCATATCACGTGGATTAGGAATGGGATGCCACTTAAGCTCATATGTGGGACAAGGCAGGTGAGTGAATACTTTTGGCAATATAGTGCATAAGACTGTTGAAGTCTCAACAGAACATTGTTTACTTGAACTAAACAGCCATAACAAGATGCCAGATTTGCAGGAGTTGCTAAAGTATTCATCCCTGCTGGGGTTCTATGTTTTGATGTCTTGAAGATCAAAAGAAAGTTGAGGCTTTGTATCTTTTAATTTACAAAACATAATTACCACTTTGAACATACAAAACATTTTTATTATGAAACAAACAGGGAAAAAAATCTAACTATTCACCACCCCAAATTCAGTACTTTGGAGAGTCACCTTTTACAGCATTTACAACAGCAAACCTTGAAAAAAAAATCCTACCACTGGAATTTTTGCCCATCTTGTGTGTCAAAACTGCTCCAGCTGGTTGTGAATGTGTTACGCTTCAGTACAATTTTTTTAAATGAAACCAGAGATTCACACTTAAACTGAAGTCTGGGCTTTGACTGGGCCATTCAAGGACATTTATCTGCTTTTCCTTAAACCACTGAAGTGTTGCTTCAGCAATGTTTTTAGGGTCATTGTCCTGTTGGAAGATTAACCTTTGTCCCAGTCTCAATATATCATCTTTCAATCAACTCTAACTAGTTTCCCAGTCCACAATGATGAAAAACATTCCCACAATATGCTGCTGCCACTACCATGCATCACAAAAACCACTTCTCTCCAAGAAAAACACCAGGATCAGACTGATACTCTGTAAATGGTACTGGGATTGGACTAATTTTCTTTCTTTAACCCCTTTTCTGATTAAGTGTGGCATCCGGAAAACAGACGGCCAAAAAAAGAAAAGGTGAATGCTACCATCTGTCCTGTTTCATGCAAACAGAAAAACATCCCGAGGTGATAGGGTTGTTTCTCGGCCAAATTAGTTGGCTCACTCACAAATCGGTTTATTTACAAGTTGCCTAAAAACACAGCCATTAATTATGACTGTACCTGAAAATCCACACAACTTCACCAAATCATGCTAGAACAGCTTGGTGTTAAACAATGCCTTTTCCAGTATGATGGACAATTTAGAGGAGAACAAAACATCTAAAGTCTGAATCTATGGTGCAGAAACTTCTCAGGCTTTAATCTCATCCTTAGAAAGGTGAATTAAAATGAACAAAACACACAAATTCTAACAAATCTAAACACTGATTATGCAAGAAAGGGCAGCTATCAGTCAGGATTTGGCTCAGCAATTACATGACAACATGCCAAGTAGGGCTGTGTATTGGCAAGAATTTGGCGATACGATACATATCATGACAGAGGGGTCACGATACGATATATCCCGATATATTGCGATACTGTAAGCAAGGCGATATATTGCGATATATTGTGATTTCTTTTGTCCAAAAATTCTATTAAATTAAAACCTCTTACTGGGGGAAAAAATGAAAAACCACAATTCATTGTCTCAGAAAATCTAATATTACAGAGACATACTTTAGATACATTTAGCTATGTTCTGCTTTGTATGTATTTTATTTTATTTGTTTCATAGTTCTTATTTCATTCATGTTTTCAATTATTAGACTAAATTTGCCAATAAATAGTTTGAAAATATATTTTTTGAAGCTTTTAGTTTTTGGTATTAATTTACAATATGGTCAGCCAACACTTAACAATAGCCTCTACCTCAAGAGGTAGAGGAAACAAATGGCTGGCTCACTGCTGCCAACTAGTGGCCAGAGGCTGAACTACAACATAAAATGAACAGCTGGCAGGAAAGTTGACATTTTAAACCTTAACTAAAAAAAATCGATACAGGGCTTTAGAATATCGATACGGTATCGGGAAATGAAATATCGTGATATTTCAGTGTATCGATATTTTCTTACATCCCTAACGCCAAGTTGAGTTGCAAAAGTCTGGCAAAAACTGCACTTTTTGAATACTTTTAGTTATTGTCAATAAAGATTTTGTAAACCTATATATTTAAACTCTACTCTGTATACTACACTATACCATGTCTGACAAAAAGCAGCAAATGGCATTAAAACCAATACATACAAATCCTCTCAATATTTTTTGGCTTTGTTTTGTTTTGGTGTAAGATGGGGTGCCTGAAATATTTTTAGTAACCGCTGTGTTAAGGTGCTAGAAATTTGATTGCTATTTAAACAGTAAACCAAACTTTCATCACAGTTTATTCAAAAACAAAGTGGATATTTGGAAATATTTCCTACTGATTCATAAATCTTGGTATTTGTGTCTGTAACAACAGGAGTCGTGAGCCAAGAAAAGAGAGAATGTTACTATGCTGTAATCACACTCAAACACAGTGAATTATAGCACTGAAGACTTCTGCTGCTCTTGAGTCAGACTTCTGCAGTAATTAGACTCAACTTACAATTTTTCATTTTTCATGCAGGAACTTTGCACTCTGGTTTTGGAGTGAATAAGCTCTCCAGATTAAAGCAAAACAACTGCAGCTACAAGTTGTTTTGTTTTTAAAGTTTTAGGATTCAAGTTCATGAAGGGAATCCATACATGTCAACTTGTACAGATTGTCTGTAAGTTATAGGGGTGTCCCGATCCGATATTGTTATCGGATTTCGGTCCGATATCAGCCAAAAAAACGAGTATCGGATTTTATCGGCCTGCATAAAAAATGTCCGATATAAGCGCTCTGATATTAGCAGTCCGTTCCAGCAGTCCGCTGACTCCGCTCCAGTGTTTCTATCCAGCAGCGCTTGGATCCAGCATGCAGCGTTCACGTGATCACAACAACATGCTGCGCTAACAAGTTAGCAAGAATGTTGGCAGCAGAACTTTCTATTTTCATCAAAAACAGAGTTGAAGCTAAGTGCAAAGTTGTCACGCACAAGTTTTCCGAGGGGGCACAGAACCGTGAACGTTTTAAACCGGAGCTACAACTACTCTCCACCCTGGCAGCAGCTTTGCGATTCGGCTCGGTTCAGCCTCGGTCCAAAAGTGTCTCCATGATTCCAACCGAGCAGAACCTCCTCTCACTCCGGTGGTTCTAGTGGGCAGAAGCGAGGACAGCACGCTTTTTACAGTTTTGACATCAGCAGAATGTTGCCCGTGGATCAGCTCTTGATGGACAGAAGAAAGGAAGAGCGCAGATTTTGTTTTGGAATACGAGCGACACGACGAGAGCAGTGATAAAACCTGCTCCCTGCAGGAGCGAGAGGCTAATCTCCACATGATGCTCAGACTGTAGAAGGTATTAATAATTAACTGACTGATTCTTAATATTTATTTTTGCTCATTTGTAGAGTGATGTTTAATCTATTTACACACTTGTTTTAGTGAAGATTAAGTGCAATGAATTTATTCATTCATCTCTAAGAAATGTGAAATGCTGCTAAGTTGCACACAGGTCCTACATTTGACACACTGATTGTGCTGTTGTTCTGCTATTGTGCCACACCATCTACTGTGCTGAAATTTATCTTTTAAATTTTTTAATCTTTTTTTAGTGTGCTTATGTGTAAAAAAATATATATATTTCCTTTTTTATTGTTCTTATACTGTTTTCTTAGACCTTATAATGTTTTTTTCTATCATTACTGTTCTGTCATCTATAACGTGACTAGGAGAAATGCCCACACAAGAATTCCAGTGTGTATAAACTGCTAGTATATGCACAAATGGCAAATAAAATCTATCAATGATCACGTTGTTTTGAGCACAATCAGTAAAATTGTACCTGTGGACTCTTAACTTTGAACAGACAATAATGGGGGGTTTTGTTTTGTCCCCACCTTCAGTTATTCCCACCATAAAGCAGCACCAGGCTGACAGATGGTAAAAAAAAAATAACTGGAGTGATTTTGAATTATTTTACACTTTAAAAGTACATTTTGTTTTTATTATGTTATTTTTTCAGGGTATTGTAATTTATTTTATTTATTAAATTATAGAATGTTCTTCAGTTTAAAATGTATGTGATCCATTAGTTAAAAATAAATGGGTCAGTTTTTCTCATACCTACTCTTTTTCACTGTTTGACTTGATCAAGACTTTTCTAAGATTTTACACTACAAAATAGGTAAAAGTGCGCGACTTGTACTGTTTTGGTAACGGGTCAATATCGGTACGGGACAATTCTCAAAGTTGTAATATCGGTACCGTATCGGAAGTGAAAAAGTTGTATCGGGACATCCCTAGTAAGTTATAAGGATTTTACATCATTTTGCAGATATACGGACATTTAGAGCAATCTCACGGATTTTTTCAAGTCTTACGGATTTTTTCAAAACCTCATTTTCAAATTTATCTAACATGTCAGAGCCTGTAGGATGATTTAAAAAACAATAAATAACATCAAACAGCCATCTTCCAACCTGTTCTGCAGCTAGAAATAAGTTTTGAATTTTTTTCGCTCTCCTTTCTTCCTGCTTCGCAGTGGGCGCGCTTTCATGTCCACAGCCGACAATCCCCACCCCGCGGGTGCTAGTTGTACGGATGTTTTGCAAAGTTTACGGATTTTTTGGATTTTTATACAGGCAAACGTCCGACGAGGTTGACATGTATGGGAATCATGTGTCTGACCATTTCTTCCCTTAAATACATGCTTTTTCAATTTATTTCTTCATAAATAAAAATAATAAAAGAATTTGTTTAATAGGAAGGCAAGAGATTAAAAAATAGTTTGTCTCACCATAATTACGGTCTTGGCCGAACTGTGTCTGTAGCACAAGCTGTGATGAGCAAGCAGTCCCAGAAATGTGTAGAACATCACTGTGGCCAGGTTACGGAGGTCCAGAAACGACTCCACCAAAGATATGGTACCCATGGTCCAGTCGCAGCAGAGCTCTGAGGGATTCAGCAGAAGCCATGCATTCACCGGTAGCAGGTAGTTGAAAGTCATTTGTCTTGTGGGAGAGGGACTAACTGCTGCTGGGTTATCAAATCTACAAGAGAATACAGAAAGATAAAGATTTGTTTACAGTTATATGAAAAACTTTGGGTACCCTTGTTAATTTTCCTGATTTACCTTTATAAATCATTGATTGTTTGGACAAAAAAAATTCAGTTAAATATATCACATTGGGGACAAACACAGTGATATTTGAGAAGTGAAATGAAGGCACTAGTCCCCTAAAGTGCAAATCTGCTAATTGTGGACCTAAATTTCTCTTTTGCGCTTTAGGGGATTTACTAATTTCATAAAATGATGTGCGGATTTGCGCTTTCTAAATTTAGAATCAAGTAGCGCTAATCGCAAATAATATTCCACATTCAAACATCAATTTCATCTTAAGCAAATCTAAAAAGCCGTCTAGTGTCACTACTTTCTGTAGCCAAATAATTCATCTCTTGATTTTCTTGAACAATGAAGGGGAAAGCCGCCTCCACTTACAGTGACACACCACCGTGAGGAAACAGCGACTCCTCAGTCTGCATAGTGTTCACAGAGCTTTATACTCTGACTTCTGACTCTTCTCGGTGACGGTTTTCACTCCCACAAGTTTTTGCGAGGCAGGAAGCAAATAATTTCTTCACTGGGTGACAATCTAACTGCGGTTCTGATCTGCAGAACCACACTCAGCTGTGCATATTGTACCTCCCCTCTCTGAGGGACACCGCAGCAATAAATATTAAGTAAATAAATAAATAAAAGTAAAGAAGTAAACATGGAACAGTTTAAATTCATCCTCTTATTTTGAAAACAACAAAGTGCCTGTTCTGCATCCTGTAGCCTACCCAGAATGCATTGCTTCCATTTTACAACAAACAGTTTAAAATTATTATATCTGCATGTTTTCTTACTGAACCTCTGCCAAAAACATAAGAAAATGACCAAGAAATAGCAGAACTAGAAATCCACAAGTATTTTTTGTTTTACAACCATGATGTGAAAGTCTGTTTCTAAGAATCACTTCAGCATTCGGCGACAATGTGTCAATCTGTTGAAGGTGGTAGTAAAGCATTGACTTTTCTCTTAACTGAATGTTTTCTGGTAAATGGAAATATGTTGCGGTTTACATTAGCTTCCGTTAAATTTTACTGAGCATGTGTGCTTTTGAACTTGCAGACCTAAATAAACTTAATAGTGCTTAAAAAATTGCGGAACTAAAATTTAAATTAGCGCTGCCCACCACCGGAAATAAAGTTTATATGATTTACTGAAAGTGTGCAATAATTGGTTAAACAAAATGAGGCAGGTGCATAAATTTGGGCACAAAAAATAAAAAATAAACCCTTAACTCAATACTTAGCAGATCCTCCTTTTACAGAAATAACATTCTCTAAATGCTTCCTACAGCTTCTAATAAGGGTCTGGATTGAGGTTGAAGGTATTTTAGACCATTCTTCTTTACTAAACATCTCTAGTTCATTCAAGTTTGATGTTTCCAACCACAGACAGCTCTCTTTAAGTGACACCACAGATTTTCAATAATATTCAGGTCTGGGGCCATTCCAGAACGTTGTACTTGTTCCTCTGCATGAATGCATTAGTAGATTTTGAGCAGTGTTTAGAGTGGTTGACTTGTTGGAAGATGCAGCCCCGGCTTCAGCAGCTTCAGCTTTGTCACTGATTCCTGGAYATTRGTCTCCAGAATCTGCTGATATTGATTGGAATCCATGCGTCCCTCAACTTTAACAAGCTTCCAAGTCCCTGTACTGGCCACACAGCCCCACAGCATGATGGAACCACCCCCACATTTTACTGTAGGTAGCAGGTGTTTTTCTTGGAGTGCTGTATTCTTTTCCCTCCATGCATAACGGACCTTGTTCTGCCCAAACAACTCTATTTTAGTTTCATCAGTCCACAGCACCTTATTCCAAAATGGAGCTGGCTTGTCCAAATGTGCTTTAGCATAACTGAAGCAGCTCTGTTTGTGATGTGGGCGGAGAAAAGGATTCCTCTGCATCACTCTCCCATACAGCATCTCCTTGTGTAAAGTGTGCTGAATAGTTGAACGATGCACAGTGACTCCATCAGCAGCAAGATGATGTTGTAGGTCTTTGGTGCTGGTCGGTGGGTTGACTCTGAATGTTCTCAACATCCTTCACTTCTGTTTATTCCTGATTTTTCTTGGTCTGCCACTTCCAGTCTTGACTTGAACTGTGCCTGTGGTCTTCTATTTTCTCACGTTTCTCACAGTGGAGACTGAAAGCTGAAATCTCTGAGATAGCTTTCTGTATCCTTCCTCTAAACCATGACGGTGAACAATCTTGTTTTCAGCTCATTTGAAAGTTGTTTCGAGACTCCCATGCTGCCACTCTTCAGAGCAGATGCAAAGAGGAGAAAAACCTATAATTGCCTCCCTTAAATACCCTTTCTCATAATTGGAGTCACCTGTGCATGGAGGTCAAGGGTCACTGAACTTACCAAATCAAATTTAAAGAGTAACTTACCCCAAAATTAACTTTTTTTAGCTGATAAACTGTCTAGAATGTGTCTAAAATGTTATATAGTACTGTTTCTGT